CCCCAAAACCCCAAAACCCCAAAACCCCAAAACCCCAAAACCCCGGAAATGGGTTATGTGGTTGGTGAATAACTGGAATAAATATGAGTGTAGGTATTTAGATGATTTTTGGGACTTCTCTACCGATGTTCTTTGAACTCATCTGGAAGGTAATCTTTACTGAAGTGTCGGATTCTAAGCTGAATTTCTGTTGGTGAGATGGGTAGATTACCTCGGATAGGTCGCATATGTTTTTCTCTTGTTTGGATACCGAGGAAGTGGTGTTATTTCCTGTCGTTTGATTCGTTCAGAGACTCCTTTATTCAGCCAAGTTGATAAGGATGAAACATGCTTGGCCTATTGGGATTTATTTGTGGGATGGAAATCTTCTCTCTTCCAATAAAGGACTTTTTAGTCAATCTCCTCAAATTTGATTTTTCATCTAAAGGAAAATTATGAAATTCTGTTGAAAATCACCATACCTCCAATTAATTTTGAGACTATCCAAGCATCGAGTGGGACTGCAGGGGAGTTCCTTCTCGTTTGCACTATAATATTTGATCTATTTCCTTACCACTCCCTAGAGGTGGGGTTCAAGCTGGGCTCTGCAAGTTAGACATATTGTTGGGGTTCTAAAGACTGGTTAAACTGTGAAATCGAAGTCATTTACATTCATATCAGCCACTTTATTAAACTCTTCGCTACTAAGAGATTTCAAACAATTGTTTAGATGATCTGCATCTGTGTAGACTTCGCCCATGCCATCTGAGAACACAACTGTGTTCATGAAGGAATCTTTAGTTTTTTCTTTCTGTGCTTCCATCCTATTGTATTATTCATCATCCTTACACGTTCTTCATGTACATCATCTGCTGAATAATTGATTTGTTTCTAGACAGCATGGTTTAGGCAAGAAAAAGAGAAGATGAAGCGATCGAAGGGTTTAGCTTATAGATATGAAAAGGTTCTTTAGACTAATTCAACTCAATTATGTGCGGTAAGCATCAAGCTCAATTAAACTATTTTTGCTTACTTATTGTTAGACCCCTTATCTCCTATGGGAGGAGACTTCTCGAATCGATGAACGTTCTTAGAATTAGTCGTCCAAGGAGAATTAAAAGAACGAGTTGACTTGCTCTCTCTCTTAGACTCTTTCTCTGGTACAAGAGATGTCAAGGACTCAGGTGTCTTGTTTTTATTAAACTTAGATGCTCTATCACTACAATAAATGTTAGAATAGAATTTTCATAGAAAGATTTGTAGCATACGATTAATAAATAAACTTGCCTTTGCTCTTTTCCATTATCCCTTTGGTGCTTTATTATCCTATGAAAACAATAAGAGTCTGGTCGATCAAATCTTTTAAAATGAAAGAAAGCTTACTTCAAGCAATGTACACTTGACAAAGTCTGCTATAAAGGAGAGAGTGAGATTAGGTATGATAATAATTAATTTAAATGATTTCACCGAAATTAGGAAGAAATCCTGTCAACTAAAAATAGCCTACATCTACGTCTTCAGATCCTTTCCTATAGAGATAACTGATGAATGATTACCTGGTTCTCTGATTATCAAGGAAATGATCTTCCACTATCTGCAGTACTTTCTTACTGCTGAAGGTTGGAATATGTTTGTATTTCAGCATAATACTGTCCAGGGTGGCCACATAAAGGAATAATTTGCAACCTGTAGAGACTGCCTCGATTTCCTCGATATCGAGGTAATCAAATATCTTATCTAGTACACACAAAACTCCTTGTGAAGGCTTCATTGACATTATTCTTGACTTTGTCTTTGCACTCTTATTTGAATTGGGCTGGAGGTATTCATAAGCAACTATAGCCAAGGGTTAGAGAAAATAGCATTGAAAAGAATAATAGCACTTGTTTCGGAAAATTTAGAAATAGATTAATTAAATTACTCATGATAGCATCTTCCATTCATATCGAGGATCTTTTCTTTAAAGATTTTTCTTGGATAATGTCATAGCCATTTGGGGATGGTAGAACCTAAAATTATAAGATACCCAATAGTACGGATTCTTACCTTATTCCCATTGTTTGAGTATTTCCCATTCCTTGATGGTGTCTTATCATATCTATACCAAGATTAGCATGGGATTAACAGGCTAAAGAATTAATAAAAATAGCTCTTTTTGACAAATGGTGAAGGAGTGTAGAAATCTCCCTAAAGTTCGATAAATACGAATAAATCACAAAACCATGGAATATCTTCAGTATTTCACTACTAGAGGCAAAGCTCATAGTTACTCACAAAGGATGGTCAGAATTATGGTTAATTTTGACAGCTCCATTTGCTCAGCAGCCTCCCATATTTTAATATAGTTTAATATTTTAATTATTTTTTTTGCCAATTTATGCTATTATTGCTCTTTCAGCTTGTCTATTCTAGTTAGGGGTTTTGGGGTTTTGGGGTTTTGGGGTTTTGGGGTTTTGGGGTTTTGGGG